TCCCCCCCCCCCTGAATCACACATTGTGATCAGGAGAATAATTAAGAGGAAATGATTGCCAAGTCTGATTCTGAAACAAATTCTCCTTGTCAGCACCTTAAGAAATGTATAGTGAACAGTATGGAGAATATGAAGGCTGATATTAGGGTGTCAAGGGTTAAGAGGCAGGCATATGCAAAACCACTGCATGCTAATTATTTTGACATCAAGTGACAACTTTCTCCATTCAGCATTTGGAATCAGTGCAACTAGAGCACTGTTTTAACTGGCAGTTGGCTTCTTACGAATCAGTTTCTCCCACCAACTTTGCTGTTTCGATTTCTTCTGAAAATCTGAAGGAAAGAAATATGTTGGGGAATGAGCAATGTGAACAGACAATGCTGGACATGGTGAGAAAAGTTTAAAAAAATGTTTACGTCAGTTAAATTTGCATGAACTCTTTCTGCCTTTTTAAGAGTGCCTAATATCTAATTTCTCCCGACAGTATCATAAGCTGAGTTGATCTTTACTTTATTTACACAGTGTTCTATATTTAACAATTATTCGCTGAAGGCGAGGTGAATATCATCAAATAATCCTCGAGACAAAGTCAAGGGGATAATTCAACAATATTCACTGAGCCTGAGGTGAATAATTGTTTTAGCATAATTTCAGAGCTGAATAACAGAGAAATTTCTACAATCATAACATTTTAGTAACATTTATTAACATTTTATTTCAACATTTTATATAAACCGCGTGGAGTGGTTTGTATAGCGTCATATAAGGAACCGCTCAACCAATCAGAGTGTTGAAATTATACTAAAAAGTAATACCTGATGACAGATAATATGATGCAGCTTCCTGACAATCCTGTACACTATTTGTAGTAAATGCTGTTTCTTTTTGCCTGGGGTACTATGAAGTAGAAATTAACATACCAAGCAATAAATTATCAAAAATCTTGAGCAAATTTCAGAATGATAAAAAAATATGATCTCTACAAGGTAATGTCAACCAAAAGTCAAGTAATTTAGAGTTTAATTAGCATTATACTAACCTTGTTTCTGTAGTAGTTTGAACTTATCTTTAAGAGACTGTCAAGCATTTTTTCAGCCTCTTTTGGCTGAAAGGTTAAAATTCAACATCAGATACTTTGGATAGAATTATCAAAGAATAGGAGTTTACCGTTAATAAAATAAAAAGGCCATAAATGACATTCTATAAACCTTTTTTGTGAGGACTGTAAAACATATTTAAAGCCAAGATCTAACGCACTAACTGTAATGGTAGACTGCTGTGCCGTTTACAGTTGATTCAAGTTTATTATCACAAAAACTGAAAGCTAGCGAGTTCTTTTGATGAAGCTGTGTCTCTGTAACGAACCATGAAGGAGATCGCTGAGGTATGCTCCTTTAATCATCAAACGTGAAGCGCCCTAATGCAGTTAAGTTACGCAGGTAAGTAGGTAGGTTACGTAAGACAAGTCAGAGCAGGTGAAATTAATCGATGAAAAAAGAAATTTAAGAACTCAAAAATGTTCACTTACGTCAATCTGGGAATTTTTTATGCGAGGCACGAGATTCCCTTTCAGATGTTCTCCAAGATCCCTTCCTAATCGATTCTGATCGACCGGCCATTGCTCACAAACTTGCAAAAACCTTTTATAAAGTTTAGGTGCGAGCGCTTGCCTTGACGCCATGTTGAATTCATGCGTACGTCCGCTGATAGAAGGCTCACATTGCCTGGTTGCTCGGGCCAGCCGGCGGCTAATCGTGACGAAAATACATGATAACCTGGGAATTTTATGTCTATACACATTTCTGTTGCTTTTTACTGATGTGATCACTTCTAACTGATGGAGTTTGTGGAGTATATCAAATCACCGCGTACTGACAATGTTTGACTCAAGCGCAGAGAGTTAGCCTATCTAGAAGGAACTTTGTGCGTGACAGGACATCACTTGATCTTCTCTTCTAGAACAGAACATAAGGATGAGCTGATTGTAAGTCACTCAAAATAACAATAGCTCGCAAATAATTTTACTAGGAACTAATTGAGGTAGTTGAACAGAATATACAGCATTCAGAGTTCAACTTGTGTACTGGTTGATTTTTGACTTTGGCATAATGAAGTTCAAATTTCCTCAGGCTAATCCCTGGTTACAGTCTTTATTTGATGGTTCCAATTTTAAATTTTTTGAGCTAGGGTTTGCTTCCTCTTCAAAATTGTTCCTAAGAATCCAGGAGATAAGCAAATTTTCTTGGAAAGAAATCATGGATAACTTCCGGAACCAACGATTTGAATATTTACCTTCCGTTCCAAATGCAAACATGAAAAACATTTCTGCTCATGCAAAGAGTTGTCCTGGTAACCCAAGTTAACCAGTCGATGTGAAGTCTGAATATCCAAAGACGATTAACTTTAAAAATTATATTAGAAGTACCACGGTTTATATAAAAAGTAACCTTAAAAATGTGTACACGATTCAACAAACTGGGCTGAATATTCAGCAGTTGCACATCACTGAATTGTTGATTTTTGAAGTACACCTGATGCTATCTTAAAAATAGATCTACAAGCTAGTGACAGAACTACCATCACAGTTGAACTGTAATTGAGACATTTATAGACTGAGAAAGTAACCTTCTCCAGGCTCTGATAGAGACTCGACCTGTGCTTGTCACAGACTTTTAATGCCTTGAGCCCTGTCTAAGTCCGAGTTTTGTTGTGCTTCTTTTTCAATCGATCTTAATTTCATGTGAGGACCATTATGTTATATTGATCATAATTTGTTATGGTGAGGATCATTATGTTATTTGCCGTCATTCACAAGTAAAACTGATTTATTTTTAGTCCATAAACTTTTTAATTAATAAGAAATACAAGTTTAAATTACCATGCAATTCAAAGGAAACAATACAAATGGCTTCAGAATTGACAACCGTCCTGAAAACAGTTACTTGCTTTTGTTTAAAATGACTTTGAGGTCAAAATTATGTTGAAGTAGCTTGAATTGTTTTTCCCTCGGCTCTATACACATTACTTTGAGAAAAGGAATATAGTTTTTAACTGTTTGACTTGCAGCTATTGCACTCAGCAGTGGAACATGTTGAGAAGAAAGTCAGCGGACAGCAGGGAATATTGGCAATCCGTTGTAAAAACTTTGATGTGGTTAAACTGAAGTTTAGCAACATTGAAGAGGCATTGAATGTGGCTTCCTCTATTGAAGTTCTCTCAACAGTTGGTAAGATGTACATATATCTTATTAACCAAGCACTGGCATTACTGGGAGAATATTGGCCCAAGGTCTTGACAGTATGGACNCCATTCGGGACAGTGCCTGGTCCAATACTGAGAGAATATTGACCGGCAATAGGGCATTTTGATTGGTTGATTTTAGTTATTGGCCCTCTGACTGCCCGAGTCGTGTAATAAAGATATATTATTTAAGTGTGAAAAAACAGGAAAATATTCGTCTGATCTGAATTTAAAAAAATGATAAATACACTTTGGGCCTTGGAAAGTTAGTAGAAGAGTTCTATATAATGTGCAGTGGATTGAAAATTGTGCTATCATGGAATTGCCTAATGAGTACTATAAACACAATAAGCTTAAAGGGGACATTTCAGTAGATGAAGAAATTCTGGCTTTTTTATATCTTGGCCTTGCTTTCACTAGCATTATCTCTCAAATATTATTGCAAGTGTCCTCATCAAGTCTAGCAGAGTTTTAGATCTGGTTGATTTACATGCAATCTTGTACTGGATTATAAGACAAGCCAAACTCGTGACATCATAAGATTCCTTTATATTGGGTAAAATTATTATTATTTTTTTACTGTGTGGTACTTGGAAGGATATTTATCATTGAACTTTCCCCAAGGATTGCAATGTATCTGTAGAATCCTTCTGATTAACAATGGGTTTCATGTTATGATTTTCAAAGACTCTTTATGGCATGTGCCTTTTAAATTACTAATGATTACAAGTTAAATGTATTTTTGATACAATTATGCTTTAGTCTACTGAATATTCCAAACTACAGTGCAATATTCCATTGCTTCACCGTCTATTCCTTCCTGGTCATACTTACAAGACTTAGTATAAATAGTCATGTGACTGGATGTGCAATTGTTCATTCCCCAGAAAATACAAATTTGAGGTATCCTTTCTTCTACCGACATCTAAGAGCCATTGATGAAGACGGATGGGATATATTTAGTACAGAAATGGAATTCTTGAAACTCTCTTCATTAACACAGGGCTGGAGAATAAGTCATGTGAATAGTGGTTATAAGGTAAGCCCATTCTTTTGTTATTAATCACACTCAAACAACAACAAACAAATGAAACATATGAAACATTTTTTTTTTTTTTTTTCAGGTCTGATTTTCACTATTGCTCAAATAGTGCTTTACTGCGAAGGATCATGCACATATACATTTCATAACCGCAGTTCATACATATGTTTCATATGTTTGTTGTTGTTTGATTTATCATCTACGGGTTTATGTCGAATTAATTTGATGGCCTGCTCCCAGTTGGCTTGTTAGCTCAATTGGTAGAGCGCTGCACTAGTATCGCAGAGGTCAGTGGTTCGAATCCCGTACAGGCCTGAAATTTTTTTTTTTTTTTTTTTTTTTTTTTTTTTTTTTTCAGGTCTGATTTTCACTATTGCTCAAATAGTGCTTTACTGCGAAGGATCGTTCT